TACGATTTTTATCCGAAATTCCATGGACCTAGAGTTTGAAGATTGAATAATTCCTTGCTGATCCATCCCTCTGTGCATGAGGACCTCCTTTCACTTGTCCAGAATCTTTGCAACAGTGCTGTTATCGATGGTCAATGGTGGATCACCCTCAAAAAATCATATCAGTGCTATCTTCATACACAAGACTTGCATCGGGCCTGCCAGAAACGACATCTGCTACATGCCAAACAGGAGGCACTGGCTACTCTTCTCTCTGGTAATACTGAAGATGCTGCTATGCTTCACAATATCAAAGGCCTTAAGTGTGAACTTGACAGCGAGTATTTTGAGTTATTTCATTCAGCCATTGTCCATTCCAAAATTTTGTCTTTTGACTCTGACACTTTGAATAGGGTACCTAAGCACCATCCCACCACATTGCTTGCCTCCAGCTACAAGATGGTTCCTTTGTGGAGGAGGTTTCTGATCTTCTTCTGACATGCCATTTTCAGTTCGTCTTTGCTACATCTGATGTTAAAACTTCTCTGTTGGATGAAGTTTCACAGTTCATTCATCCTCTTGATGTGGTTTCATCCTTTCAGCTCACTCTAACACTCACTGTTGAGAAATGTCAGCAGGCACTCCATTTCCTCCCAAAAGACAAGTATCCTGGTCTCGATGGACTCAGTGTGGAAATTTATCATACTGTGTGGAATGTCTTAGGTCATTATTTTGTGAGGGTCTTTAACAGTTTCTGCAACAAGACCATCTTCTCCCTGGTACATTGGAGGGGCTCATTTCTTTAATATGTAAGGACTATGGCAATGCTCAGGCTCTGTCTGCTTATCAACAGATCTCCTTGCTCAGTGTGGACTATAAAATTATTGCTAATATTCTAAGTCTACATTTGGATGATGTGTTTGGTACACTTATCCAACCTACTCAAACATGTGGCGTCCCTGGTTATAGCATCCAGTACAATCTTATGTTACTGAGGGACATTTTTCATTATATTGATCAATGTAATCTTCCCACTATCTTCTTGGCTCATGACCAGATTCAGGCCTTTGACCATGTTCACCACTGCTTCCTATGGTTCCTTCTGAAACATTATGGTTTCCCAGATTTCTTCATTACCTGTGTCTAATTTCTCTATCACGAGGCTAACAGCAAGATCTTGGTCAATGACTTTATGACCTCATCATTTACTGTTCTTCAGGCATGCGCCAGAGCTGTCCTTTGTCTCATCTTTTATATATTCTCGTTATTGAGTGCCTCTTGTCATTTGTAACACATTCTGCTGATGTTCAGGACATTCCACTACCTGGTAGAAATGGTCTCAGCATAAAATCTATCAGCCATGCAGATGATGTCAATTTTCTCTCTCTCCACCCGTCTTTCACTATGGAAATTAATTGACATTGTTATTACGTATTCTCTGGTCAGTGGTGCACAGTTGAACTACCAGAAGTATCGAGCCCTATGGTTTGGTCAGTGTGGAGGGGGGAGGTTCTGATGCACCCTACAACCTGCTCTGGTCAATGAGGATGTGAAGTGTCTAGGTATCTGCCCCCCCCCCCCGTGTCTACAAATTGGCATCATTTCCTATCTCATGTTGTGGATGCTCTCCAGGCTTACCAGCACTCCGCCCTATCGATTTTGTTCCGAGCTTCCATTGTCCATCAGTGGGTACATATTGTTGCAAATTGTTCACAATGTGTTGCCAGTTCGTGAATTCCAGTTCCTCCGACAGATGTGTACCTCTGAAGCCTGTCCCAGTTGTCGTACGTCTGTTGAATCTGTTCTACATCTGTTTGTATTGTGTCCCCTATTAAAATCTGTTTGTCAGTGGCTGGCACGCATCTTCAATGTGACTCGTATTGTCCCCAACACTGTAATTTATCATTTTCCTTAGCCAGTGCATCCTTGTTTGTTTTCTTTTTCCTATTGTGTCGCCCTCTGTAAGCACGTGCTGTGGTTAAATAGAAATCACTACGTCTAAGAGCACTCATCCGTTCGTTCACCAATATCTTCCATTAAGTTCGGTGTCGCCTTTCTCTTCGTCTTGAGGCAGATTTTCTTCGTCTCTTTTCCTTTCAGTTCGATGTGCTGTGATGTCCCCCCGCTATTCTTCTTTAATCCAGCATGTACAAGGTTCCGTTCATCTGCCATTTTAATGTTTCTATTTTCAGTTGTTCTATTTTTCTATATTATTTATGCTATTTGTTTTTCTTTTGACAAAATATCTGATCTAATCTCATATGTACATTTAGTGTTCTGTAATTCTCGTTGTGTGCATAACTTTGTTGCCGTGATGTAGTTGTAGATTTCGAACTTTTGTCTTTTTGTAAATAAAATTTCAGTATTGTATCATACTTCATGGCGTCCAGATGTGTTGCCCCTTTTCCCTATGACCAGTGACTGTATCTCTTTAATATTTGAATTTGTAATGTATTGTTGTATACTAGTGTATAATTTCATTTTGTGATATTAATCTTTCGATTTTCACGTATTTTTGTGTACTGGTGTATAATCACATTTTGTAATATTACTATTGAGTTTTGTATTAATTTACTGCGTTCTTCATTAGTAACTACTGTATCATTTGATGGTAATTTTCCTATTTTGTAATACGTTGTACCTTTGTCCTTTTGTAATTTTTTCTTTTGTTATTAAAAATTCAAAATGGTATCATACTTCGTGACCTGAAATCTCTATGATGTTCTACCTATTAGTCGACATGACCTTAGCACGTGGTGGAGTCCATTATTTGCATGTGTAGTTAGGTGAGGTTATGTAAATATCCCCTAAAGTCAGTTCTTCGCTCCAGAGTACTTGTACCATTGTGTAGAAACCATATTAGAGAAACAAATATGATGTTAACGATTGATTTTTACCATTGAATTAAAAAATGAAACAAATGTTAACTTATCAATCTACTGGAATGAAACTGTTTAAAAAGAAGATATATAAAACATAGGGATAGCAAAACTATAAAAGTACAGAAACAAGATAGCGTTAAATACATAAAATCATCAAAAAATCTCTATATAAGTAGCCAAATCTTTCCAAGAATAACTTTTGTCTACAACTAAATGTTGAATTCCTGTCAGTTGCACAAATTAAGCTTTGAATAAAAGCATCTGAACTGAATAGTGCCATGTATTACTCTGGCTAATAACCATAAGCTTGTAAGATTGACTCAGATACTTATGTTTGGATTTTTGTATGGTTTTGTGCATACATCCCTATCTTGTTTATGTACTTGTTTGGCTTTGATATTCCTACATCGTACTTAATTTTGCAAATTTATTTTTATTACTTGTATAACCTTGCTGGCAATAGGGACATAAATTCATAAACTGCATTTGATGATATTAAAGGTAGACTACAGTTCTTAATTATAAATAAAAATGTTGACGACAGTTATGTTTTAAAAGACATCTGAACTGTATCTGTAGATATACCGTTCGAAGTATGTTTTTCAACCGATTTGAACATTTGTTTGTTTTAGAGCACTGCCACATTAAGCTATCTGCAGTATCCACCGCAGGAAAGCGATCCCCGAATTTTAGCGTTGTAAATCTGTAAATGTATCGCTGTCCACTAGAGGACCCGATTTTAATAATGGAATAATATTTACTCATATATATGGTAAAATAATAACAACAAGGTCTTCTGGAACTTCAACTGTAAATGGTTTATTACGCTTATTTCAATGCTCACTAAGGATTCTATCTATGGCATACATGCGAGTCATTTTTACACAAGAATTCCTTGATTATTAAAAATCAGCTGGAAAATATACTGATACAGTTAAAGTGTGTTTTTAATTATAATTTTCACCTATAATTGCTTTTTTGTTTTAGATTAAAGATCGTTATCTAGCTTTAATGTCATCAAATGTAGTTTATAAACTTATATGTCCCTAGTGTCGGTAATATTATTTACTGTCCACTAAAAGAAACTTGTTAACGCGTATAAAATAACATGTGAATTTCGGAACCCGTATTAAGCCAAGTGTACTTGAACATGCCCTTGGTAAATGTGACATAGTCATCCATTCTAATTATTTCATTATCTTAGCAAGGACCAATGATGAATAGTATTTGCTCATCCAGGGACTAAGGCCAAAGATCTACCAAATAGGATCGGCTTGTAATAATTGTAGAACACAAAACATATCATCGCTAAATATGTTTTCGCTTTATCTACAAAACCGTAATATAAGTCCACTAAACTACTAAACACGAATGTAATAACCGTAGAATAAAAAACAGAACATCACTAAATATACTTTATCTACAAAACATAATGTAAGGACACTAAACACACGAGTGTAAACATCGTAAAATAATATAAAACGGAATATCGCTGAATACACTTTATCTACAAAACCGTAGTTTAAGGACACTGAACATAAGAGTGTAATAATCGTAGAATACAAAACAGAGCGTAGCTAAATATACTTTATCGTATTGTAAGGAAACTAATGTGATCAATCCATGAAGTTTCGGAACCTGCGTCCACCAAAATTTAGTATTAATTTACGGTAGTCTGTCCGCTTATGATTGACATCAAGTTAATTTTCTCTAATTAATATCATTATGTAATATTAACCCACTTGCCTTGTAAAGAGGAGCAAATTTATAATCCCAAAATATATGACTCTATAATAATGTAAGTTAAATTACCTGTGTTAAAGGTTTGTGTGAACTTTAATACTATAATAATGTAAGTTAAATTACCTGTGTTAAAGGTTTGTGTGAACTTTAATACTATAATAATGTAAGTTAAATTACCTGTGTTAAAGGTTTGTGTGAACTTTAATACTATAATAATGTAAGTTAAATTACCTGTGTTAAAGGTTTGTGTGAACTTTAATACTATAATAATTCAGTACTAGTACACGATTTTAAGCTACCACATTGAAGAATGTATGTTCTAATAACATTATGATGACTAACCAGAAAAGAGCTATTGTACACTACTTAGATTATATAAAATTAACAAGATCTCACTCTCAGCTCTAAAGTCATATTTTCCGTAAAAACCGCGGAACTGCTTGGCGTGATTGGTCCGAAACATTATCTCCATTTGGGGATACATTGATTGTATAGGAGAAGTGACATCTCTGCCGCAGAAACGTCCCACAAGCTGTTTAACCTTAAAGGCTGTCACTGTAGAAATGTCCACGTAATCCGTGAGGCACCTATGTGATAAGAATATGAATAATTCAATAACTTCAGTAGCATAACGAAAAAACAAGAAATTATGTGAAACGTAAGTTAAGAGTTTTCCACGGAAACATCACAAGGCTTTAAAGCACTTTGTGAGAGAACTAAATCAATATTCTCAACCAAAAAGGTGAGCGTAAGAGTACGTGATCGATGGAAATATTTTTCAGTGAAAAATGAGTTGGTGAGATATGAGGTACGAAACAGCAAAATTAATTCTAAGTTTCAACTTGAAGAGCTGGGTGTACCCTATTGGCTTGCGTGCCCGGATTGTAAATGCTAGGATTCAGTGTTAGTGACCCGTTGCCGTAAAAACACGCTTCGTACTTTGTAGCCATGGGTGCACTATAAGAGTGACGGTTAAATCCCATTATTCGATCAGACAAAAGTAAAGTAGTCCTATAGTTGACAGTGATGTTGACTAACTGTCTTAATTACAAATTATCAAATCAAAACGAAGTACGGACTGCTCTTGTGTAGTTTTGGGCGAAATTCTGAAACAAAATCAAGCGACTTGAATGTAGTGTTCATTTAAAGTTATGATGTTAATATGTTGTTCATCATAAATTAATGATGCGAACTTCAATGTGTTGTTTATGTTTCTGTGTTATGATATTGTAAATTTGTGCATAAGTAAGGTAATGGCATGTTTCTAGGTTTATAAGATACATTGAATAGCATGTTACTATCTGTACAATGCTCAAATTTTAGCTCTGTCGGAAAACAGAAAAATGGTTATTAGAATTATATTTAAGGTATATTAATATTCAAAATTATTTTATACTCTATGTGATCCTTTGACCAATCGCCCTGAAAAATGAATAACTATATAACTTGATTTTGTTTTCGTGTTTTTCATATCTTATATAACTACTGTTTTCTATGTATATTTTCAACATTATTTTTACTTCCTGTTTAATGTGAAGAGTCTACGAGTGTGCCGCAATCTCTCGGCTCATTCGCCTTTCTAATTGTCATGGTAACATCATCCGTTTCAACTTGAGGGCTGTATGATGACTTAAGTGTAATACAGTGCATGAGTTTGCTGGAGTAATGGAGGGCTTCTTATGTTTAACTGCATGTCTCCACTGGAGCGGTATTAATTACTAATGTTAAGCGCATTGCATGTCTCCTCTGAAGCAGTATTAATTACTACGGTGAAGCACACTGCATGTCTCCTCTGGAACGGTATTAGTTACTAATGTTAAGCACACTGCATGTCTCCTCTGAAGCGGTATTAATTACTACGGTGAAGCACACTGCATGTCTCCTCTGAAGCGGTATTAATTACTACGGTGAAGCACACTGCATGTCTCCTCTGAAGCAGTATTAATTACTAATGTTAAGTACACTGCATGTCTCCTCTGAAGCGGTATTCATTACTGCGGTGAAGCACACTGCATATCT